ATGTCTAATGGCATGTGTGTATATCTACATATATATACAATATATATATATATACATATATATATATATATATATTAACACACTATATATAGATATAAATATCTATATATATATCAGACCATCACATCTATTTGAGGTCTGAAGGTTTATATCACAAAGATTCATTCATAGATTTTTTTCTGCCCACAAGATTCAAGGCCAGGACCAGTCCACTTGCCATTAAATGCAGGGAACAGGTAGTCTCCAGAAAGGTTGCCAGTCCATCACGAGGTCAGCACTGGGAAAAATGAGACAAAGAAATCAAACACGCTCACATTCAGTGCTAAATTCAAGATCAGATAATGTCCGCATTATGCATAATTATCTCCGTCTGCGTTATTATCTGCATTATTATCTCTGTTTCTATGGGACTTAGGGAGTTAGACTACATTCAAATGGCTCATTGTTCCTTTAGGAGAACACGCAAACTCTGCACACAGAGCGCCAGTCAAGCTTCAAATAGTTCGATTATTTTTTCTGTATATACTCTGAAATTAGAAACTGCAAGTACTGATAAGCAATAAAAGTGGATCACTAAAAATATGCATGGCTAAAATTCCTCCATCGAGGCATTGATATCCCTCTGCCTTTCTGTGTTTCACAGTATTTCTTGGAGAACGAGATGGTTTCAGATCTGAGAAAATCTCTTATCAGAACATTCTTTGTGTCATTTTAATCTCCATACAGGATACATGTAATCTGCATAACTCCAGAACAAAAAAACAAACAAATTGCACACTGAAAAAATCTAATATATAATGCATAAATAATTTCTTCTGCATGCATTTTTAATAAATGTTCATTTTTCAAATTGTGACATTTAGAGTGTGCTTGGTTTGTTCCCTTCAGGTTCTCAAACGAGAGGATCATTGGGAATAATTGTAATGCGTGTGGAGTACAGAGGTGGAGGCCGAGGCAGCGGAGTGGAGAGTGAAAACAAGTTCGATTTGACAGCTTGACATGTCTACTAGTGTCGCTGGGATTCATCCTGTTCAAAATTTTACCATCGCTCGGTCATTCAATATTCACGAGACCATCGGGTCAATGATGTCTTCAAGATTCTGAAGTACCAAAGAATGATATTACAGGATATTGCAGATAATCTTTTAGTTTCAAGGCTGAAATGAAGGTTTTCTGTTTTAGTCCACTGTGGTTTTCTTTTTTAAAACGAACGCATTGACTAATCAAGAACATATTTAGAACTTCACATTTTCAAGATATTTTTAGTAGCTTGAGCGGATTTTCACTGATTGGACTCAAGAGCTGCTCAGTCTGGAGCTCATCAAAGGCCCAATGATACTAACTTTGACTGACAAAGACAAGAAAATGGATTTCATCATCCTCAGACATGATGCGGATGACCATTTGTCTCAAAGCATAATAATTTTCTGAAACAACTCAACATGTAATAAGACTACAATCTACAGTTTGAGACATAAAATGCTTGTGGTGTGTGATCCATCAGGTACAGGGCCATTGTGAAACCTCTGGACATCCAGACGTCCAGCACCAACGGCATCGTGGTACGGGCAGCGTTCATCTGGCTCATCTCCCTGATCCTGGCCATCCCCGAGGCCGTCTACTCCGACCTGCACACCTTCAGCATCCCCTCCACCAATGAGAGCTTCGTCACCTGCGCCCCTTATCCGCACGCGGGAAAGCTGCACCCTCAGATCCACTCCATGGCCTCCTTCCTCATTTTTTACGTGATCCCCCTGCTGGTCATTTCCATGTACTACACCTTCATCGCTCGCAGCCTCATGAGGAGTGCCTCCAACCTCCCCGTGGAGGGCAACGTGCACGCACGACGACAGGCAAGTGCTCAAACTCCTGAAACTGATTCTGAAACTGTAAAAAACACAGTGAGTGACCAAGTTACACATGGCAGAGAAATGTGAGTAATCTTACTAAGTCTCAATGCGTTTCATATTCTTGAATTAACCTTCTTTTTTTTAGGGTACATCTATCTGTCCACCCATCCAGTCATCCATCAACACACCCAGTTCACCTGGATCTCATTTGCTTAATTAATTAAAAAAATTAAAATATATATATATAGAGCTTTTCATTCCCTTCCTCCATCTCAAAGTAATTTTGTCACCTAATTAAACTTTCTTCTGCGGCTATGGGTGATCCTAACAGTTTCTACCACTTGCAGTTGTCATCTTGCTCTTTTGGTCTCCACTAATAGCTGCAGGTGAGGGGTTAAGCATGCATATGAAAGTGGACTGAAATAGTGGAACGAACCCGTTATATACCTTTCTCTCATTCCTCACGAATAATTACACGTCCGAAATGTGTTCAGCGGTGGCTCCGGCCCTTATCAGAAGTTGTTACATTATGTCATGGCACCTTGGTTACCCTGATGTAAAACTTTACCTGGAGAATAAAGTTGTTCTTTTTTCCCCCGCTGTCATAAAAAATCTCATGATTTCTTCTAAGTTAATAAGTTTCTTTCTGCACCGACAGGTTGAGTCACGAAAACGCTTGGCCAAGACGGTTCTGGTGTTTGTTGGCCTTTTTGCGGTATGCTGGCTTCCAAGTCACATCATCTACTTGTACCGCTCCTACCATTACTCCCAGGTAGGCAAATAGCACTTGATTATTTTTTTAATTGAACTATCAAAAGCTAACACATAGGCATTGCAGTTCCCATGGTTACAGGGTGACTCATTCCTGAACGTGTTAACAGTTAAATGACCAGAAATTCTTGTTTCTCTATTAGTGTAAAGGGGTTGTGCCACCCCAAGCAGAGGCAAATTAAATTGGAAGATATGTTTGTTGTTTTTGTATATATATATATAAACAACGAACATATCTGCCAATTTATTTAGCTTCTACTGCCACTAATGAGAGGAGTTTTTTTCCCCATTTTCTGACCTAAGTCAACTGTGTTGGCAGCAAAATTATGTAGAAAGTTCATGGATAATTAGATTTTTTCTTTTGGGAGGACTGAAAGCTGCATCGAGGCTGTTCAAAAGCTAAAAGGGCAGAAGTCTGAATCAAAAGCTGCGTGTGAAATGGTTGGAAATCTTTGTGATGAAGTAGCACCAGATGTACGAATGAATTTGAGCTCACCTTGAGTCAAAAGGTGACTAAGCGAGTTAAAAGCACCTTGTGTTAACATATCCACGTGTCACAAGTGCAAATGCACTCACTCAAACTGCACAACTACTGAGCATCTTCTCCAAATCGAGAACTCTCTCTGAAAACATATATTCAATAACTTGGCAATTCTCCGAGAATGAACCGGTCAGAAGTCCCTTTAGCAGGGTCCCTCCTTTCTAATCCAGAGAAATCCAACATCGGGACTTAAATAACTCAAAAAGATCCTTTCAAGAAGTCCACTAGCATTTAGTTTCGTGCACTAACTACAACTCATAATGCACTCTGCCTTATGTTAAGCAACAAAACGAAAATGATTGTATTGCTAACACTGGTTGGGCCTCACAACAAGCAAAGGAGAGTTTTAGTACACTTCTCCAAAGTTTGGGAATGTATATTCTGACTGGTCGTACTGGTCTGATATTTGATTGTGGGTTGATATTCATGTTGCGACACACACACGTATCCACTGATCCTCTCTGTGTGGCAGGTGGACACCTCGCTGGCTCACTTCATATGCAGCGTGGTGGCTCGTATCCTGGCCTTCACCAACTCCTGCATCAACCCCTTTGCCCTGTACCTGTTGAGCAGCACCTTCAAGAAGCAGTTCAACCAGCAGCTGTGCTGCTGCTGCCGCCTGATCCTGGCGCGCTCGCCGCAGAGCCCGGCGCACTACAACACGCGCGTGACCTCCATCCACAGCACGCACCACTCCGTGGCCAGCCTGACCGTGACGAACGGCCGGCAGCTCTACCAGGAGGACGTGGTGTGAGCGTGCCTGTCGGAGATATCGCGTACAGCTTGTGTGTAGTCCTTTTTTATTGTGTTTGCAAGTTTCCATGTCGTGATGAAGTCACACAGAGTATCGATAATTCTGAAAAATAATACACGGCCATTGTTGTGTGATGCTCTTTGAGTTTAAATGAGTCTAATTTTGAAGTGGTGGTGAGAAAAAGACCTCATAAAGAGAACAAATAATGAACTTGTTGTCAGCTGGGCTATTTTCAAGTGTAAAAAAACCACCCTGCGGGCTGCTTTTCTGCTTCTTGATGTTTTTGCTAGGCATTTAATGATAGTTCGACCGACTTTAGAAAAAGAATTACCTCCATGGATAAGTCGCAACTCATCCATGTAGGTAACATCAATGTGAGCTACATCATGCATAAAATGACCAACGGTTCGAGCAACCTAAATGGCAAATGACAGTGCTGGTGGGTGTCATCGGAGTGGCCGTGCTCTAAACATATCCTCTACCCTGGAGGGCGTTTCACAAACAACAGCCATAAGAGCAGACATGAGGTCTCAGCGTGGAGAGCAGAAAAAAAGAAAAACTCGATTTACCCCCTGAGACTTCCTGACTTAAAAAATTGTGCTTTGATTAAGAACATGAGTATATAAAAACCAGTAGTGTCCTCTATGAGGAGTGGAGAGCGATGAGAATAGATAGAAACATGGATGTCCTCTGCCTGCTCTATCCCTGTTTGCTTTTTAGGTGTAAAGGAAATATTCAATGAATTATGTTATATATCTATAAATATATCCATGTGAACATGCTTTCCTTGAAAAAACTGTGTTTTGAGCTTCGCGCGATTTCCATGGAGACTGAGGTTAAACCTTTCCTTTCTTCTTGTGGCTATTGTTACTGCAAATGATGGTTACACTGGTGGATGCTTTTGTCGTGATTTTGCCCAAAGATAAACTTTCAGTGCTCTAAAATGTGGAAACATGCATATTCTATATACTCCATGTGATCTTGTGTCCGTGTGTACTTAATGTGTAAGGTGCTTTTTCAATGTTGACGTCTTTGGTGAAAACAATACTGTGGAAATTGTGAAAATGTGATCTCTTGCTTTGTTTGCTTACATACAATTTGGCCCAAACCCGAATGAATGAAGCATTAATTGGTGCCTATTCCACGTATTACCTTGATATTTGATTTTCTGAATGAGTGATTACCACGCTACGTCTTATTTGTGCACAATTCCAAAAAATGAATGATCAATAAAACTGCGTGCAGAACCAACGACATTTGTCATTTCCTCTTCGATTGTGCAGCGTTTGATTCAGTTTTGTTACTGTGGGGTATTAACTATTGAGCGCATCCTGCAGGGAGATTGACACAACAACACTAAATTTGATGTTTTTATATATGGTGACCTCAAAATTCAATAAAGACAAATTAGAGTGCACTCAAATCCACACTTAAGTAGACGTTTTGCAGAAGGTCACGGCTCATGTTGGTGTTTTGTAGAGGTAAACAGTTTCCGCTCTTCCGTATTCATCTGGCATGAATAGATACACCGCAACACACTGACCACATCACCCTGCATCGTCTTTATTTGGAATATCACAGAGGCGTAAAATCCCAGCCAAGCTGTCATGAATGGATGCATAATTCAGTCTGTATAGAGGTTGTTTACTGTAGTGTGAAGACTTAGTGAGGGATTTTCTTTCCTACATGTTCTCAACCTCCTTCTTAAGAACTGCTGTCTTCAGAGTCAGAAGTCTGGAATGTAAATAATGATGACTACTTTAGGAATGCAACGGTCCTTGCTTTGCTAAAGCTTTGACACCAGCAGATGCTTTGCATAATCTCTGTTAATGATATAACTGGTTTCTAAAAAAAAAGGCTTCACTTGCCAGTTTTAGGGTTTGATCTGTGAGTTTTGATGTATTAGGCTAAAGGAACAGAAAGCTTTTTTATACATCTGTATCAATTATCATTGGCTTATGAGTGTAATTTAAGTTTTTAAGTTAGTATGACATGTTGGCATCACTGCATGGTTTGTCAATATTCTGTTTCTCCATTTTGTGTTAGCCGATCCACAGGTTTTAGAAAAATCACCATAAGTGATTATTTCCAATTCCCCAGGTGTTCTGTTCATACATTCTGTTGAAGGTAAATGGGAACAGTTGCCAGAGAAAAAGATGCAGCTACATTGATTTTTTCCTCGGTTTCATACTTTAAACTACAGTAATCATGTCAGAAAAGTGCCAGCTACGAACACCAATAGTGGGCACACAAAACACTCGCTTCGGGTTTGGAAAAGACCGGGACTCGGCATAAATCAAACGTCTGAGGTTGAGACAGTTTATCTCTTCTCTCTTAAACTCTTCAACACAGCAATCAGTCTTTCCGTGACACCTTGGGGGGGATAGCTACCTTTCTAAAATGGGGACGTAATAAAGGAGAGTAATCTTGTGGAGCCATTAGCAAAGACGAGTTTTTCGGCTCCAACGATGTTTCAGAGAAGCATGGTGCACTTAAGAAGACCCATTATGTCATTTCCATTTCGTCTGTCTGAAGTTTGGCCGCGAATCCCCTCGTGTGCTCACATCACAGTGAAGAAAGATGGAGGCGACGGAAACCCTGAAGATACTAGAAATCAGAGTTTGCTGCAGCTTTTCAATTTGTTCCAAATCAACCATTTTCCACACAAAATGTCATTAAGCATCAGATCCTTGTGGCAGCAGGACTGTGAGATCACACGCACGAGAGCCGAGTTGAAAACAGCCGTGAACCCTAAAACTGAGAAAGGGCCTCATTCTGTTAGAACGTGGTGTTTTGAAATGCTCCACATAGTTCTATCTCTTAATAAACACTGATAGGAATTTAACTCCCTCGGTTATCTCTATTACTTGGCTTAAGTATGTAATACAGCATGTGGGATCACCCAATTCTTGTCACAATAACAAACAATGCAAAGAAACATTAGAACTGGCTTCTTTAGGGCAGAAAAATTACATTCGATCCCATATCTTAGTGTTGCTGATGTAAAGGAACTGAAACATCCACAAACAAACAACAATTGACTACTGCCGTTTGTTTGCCAGGGAGGATTTAAAAAGGTTTGGACACATTAAAGTACAAGTTAATTAAACAGTAGCTGCTTCAAGTATGGCTAAAATATCAAATCAGATGGCTCGTGTTCACGTTTTGAACCAGCTCCAAATGCTCCCAAGTGAGCACTTCCAAAAACAAACGTGGGCCGCTGACTCACTTACAATGCCGATGAATGGTGGCTCCAAAATTGACATTCATCCGATGAGACAATGCATTAGAGCCACCGTAAAAAGACATTTTTAGCTTACTAGGGGGGGAAAAAGACAGCCCACTTGCTAGCTGTCAGCAGATGTTTAGTGATTGTTTTAGAAGGTGTGAACAACGTGGTGGCGACAGTGGAGACGTGTTACAAACATAAGAGAATTCAACAAACCATGTATTTCGGGAGAAAGCCTGATTTGTGTACGTAGATGTGAGCAGGATTCACTTTCATTTAATTAAAATTACTTTCATTTTGATATCCTGACGAGGCAACAATGGGATACAATGCTCAACACGTTCCCTCCACGTTCACCTCCATTTCCTTTGCTCTCTTCCTCTTCCTCACCGGGGCCAAAGCCAGCACCACGCTCATAAAGGGGGTGATGAAGAACGACCTGCAGCAACAACGTCAGTGATTTTTTGCACATTTGGCAGCATCGGCCTCAGGGTTCAGCCTTTTCCCGGCCCACACTTTCTCTGTACCCTGTTGCCGTTTCACGTTTGACATTTTGGTGTTCTGCTTTTAGATCCTCTTTTTAATGAAGACGCCAAAGCCTCTACACGGATAGCTTTAGATATTAAATTACTTTTAAAAAAAAGGTCAGAGTAAAAACATTATTTTCATGTTTATGCCCAAAATTCCCACTAGAGAAGTCCCACAGTAATTGTACTGTAGGACTTCTCAAGTGGAACTAATGCTCCTGCTGTAGATGTGTGCTTTTGCTCTGATTGCACCACAGTTCTTTTCAGGGCTTTGATCAGAATTTGGACAGAAAGCTGGAACATGGTAGGAACTAAAAAGTGCTGTGCACAGGAGCTATGATTAAACAGAGCTTTAAAGATGCCCAAATCACTGCTTTCTGAGGTTGCAACTGCTATATGTTTTTATATGTCAAATTCTAAACTCTATGGTTTCAGACATTATTCCTTAGATTATGACTTACATAGCCTGAAGAACAAATATAATCGTTTCCAACGAAAACACACAGTATGTGCTTTATTTTTAATAAAATGTGTCCATTTTTTTTCCTTGTCTGGTCACATATAACTTTAAAACTCACCTGCAAGAGAGTTCCATAACATGGTGACTAATCAGAGGTTTAAGAATGTGCATACTCTGAAACTCTTCCCCTTGTTAAGACTGTGAATGTGTAACAAACCTTGAAAATATTAGTTACTGTATGGTTACAGTCATGAGTAACATTTAGATACTGGACAAAACAGACGGCACCTTACCAAATATCAACCACAGTTAACCTCTACTATATATATTACGGAGCCCGGCACTTCTTCTGTGGTCTTCGTGGCCCTGCTTTTGAAAGCACTTTTTAGTATTATGGTATTTAAAAATGTGACAGTCAGTGAAAGACATGATGTTCTGATGATCAGTCAGTGTTGGATCTTTCTTTTGAAATATGTTCAAAAGGTTTTCTCTCATCCTTTTGTATGAACATGACCGTAAACACCTTTTTAAATTAAAACTAGATAAAAAAGCAGATATTCCTCCAGACATTGTGTAGCACTGAGCAGAGTATTGATCGCTGAGCGCTGTGGGCACCTTGTTACATTTGTGCCGCCGCTGATAAAGTCCAGTGCAAAATGTTAGGAACATCTAAAGATGTAAGAGTCATACAACATCGTTCCATTTATTCATTTACTTCATGTTACACAACAGGTCGTTTTAGAGTAGCAGCAGATTTACAACCGTTGACTTTGGAGTCTCTTTTTCTCCTGCATTTTTGTAGAAGCAAGCAGCATTGATTTTCTGATTTGTTCGTGCCAACAAAAATTCCAATTAAACGACAATACAGGAACAATACCTTTGCGTTATCTAAATCCCAGGGCTGTTGATTAAAATCTTATTTCCAATCCTAATTTATATTTTCACCATCTGATAGACGGATGCTTTTTTTTCTTCTTCTGAGCTAAATTGAGAGATAGAAGCTTCAAATAAGCTCCCACTTTTGTAGATAGCCCGTGTTTAGAGATCATATTCAATGTCATGAGCCTAATACTTTTCCAAATATATTTCTCAAATAATCAGTTAGTTTACTTTTATTTTACTGGAAAATAAATTGATATGTGTGCCAAACAAACATTTTTATTCTGGTGAAATCTACATTACTTAGGAACCTATGGCAAAGTACAAGTATTGTTTTATAACCATTCTATTACATTTAAGTATGCAACTGTGAGTACATAAACTTCACATGAACAGGGAGAGAAAACATTTTAAAACTCAAAGACTGACTGAAGCTGACTTAAACAAACCTTTTTTAGAGGAAGTGGCCACATGACATGCTCCATGATGACATTCAGACACTGTCATGTCGGACCTTTTGTTTTTACTGTTGCAAAATCTATTTTGAGGTGAAAGAAATTAAGGAAATTCAGATAACGCACCTTCCTGTTTGCATTTAATTGTTTAGCAGATCTGTGATGACAAAATAGATAGAACAGCCTGTAAATTAATGCTTTCATCCAGCAGCACAAGAAAAATAAGCCCAATTAGAATAATGGCTCATGTGTGGTTCATACTGGTAAACGGGAAAATTTATTTCAGGAGAAAACAGACATTTAACAAAATTTGTGATACATGAAATAATAAATCTATTATGTAATTTTCCACCAAAATGACTTTTCTAACATTGAACAAATAGCTTGAATTCTTAAATAATTTCCCCCGGCGTGCCAGTTATAGTTGTCCCTTCCTTTCCTCCCTGGTTCCACCTGTGCCTTGTTATCCACTCACTCCACAGTGTATAAATAGTCTTCTCTTTATATCTGCCTGCTCCCGCTTCCATGTGTTCTGTTATCTTCCAGTTTCAGATTGATTTCCTGATATTTCTTCCTTTTTTTTATATGGGCTGTCATTTTTGTTGACCCCTCGTCTGTCACCTTCCCATTCTCTTCTTTTTTCTTTTTTCTCACGTTCCTCAATTCTATCTAGTTTTTGATCCTTTCACCCTTTTTTCCGTGTTGAGAATTGTCACTGCCTATAAGTTTAAAAAGCTTCAAACTTTTTGATTAAGCCTACAGTTATGGCTGGCTTGGTTGACCCTGACTCTGAGCCATCTCTTTATAGGCCTTGCTTGGATGGTGATATGCCGTAATCTAGTGAGCAGCTTCTCTTTCTGCTCTCTTCATTCTCCATATTCATAAATAGTGAGACTGTGGTTAATAACTTTGCTCTTCCTTCATGTTAGTAAGTATTTCTTTTTATAGAAGCTCTGTGAAGATGAAATCGAAAGCCTCATGAACTAGAAATATATTCTTCAACCAAGTAAATTTGTAATTTGATTTGATTTTAATTTTAAAAAATTGGATTAAAATGTTTAACTCAGTAGTTTGCTTTAGGGTGACTCACTTAAACTAAAGATAAAATGGCTCTCAAATCTATTAACAGCAGAAACTGAAGAAATACTCAATATACTCAAAGTGAAGTCAAATTATAAAAATAATCTTGCAATATAAAGGCATATTCAGTGCATATAGAGGAAATGTAGAAAACTCTAGTCAATGATTTCAACTTAAAACTGTGCTTTTTAAAGAAATCAGTTAACATGGTCATGTTTGTTAATGCGATTAGTTACAGCGATCATTATAAATAGTACTGTAAATAAATTATGGGGATTTCATTCACTGCTCCCTGGTGAGCAGCTTGTCGGATTTAATTTCACCCAGTGAACGGCAACTTGTGCTATCTGCATCTGTGAAGAAAGGAGGGATCAATTAGACGCATGAAAACTGCATGAATATGGAGACAGAGGTTCTGGTTCTGGTTCCTTCTGTAGTCAGCAGCTGCTTTTCCATTGCAAATGCTCCAAGGTACATGAATCACAGAAAAGCACTCAAGACTTCTAACAACAATAAATTCATAGATCTACTATGAGCCCGCTCGGATATTGGACATCTGTCCTCAGGCTTTGAACAAATCTATATTTCCTTTTACGCGTGACCCGAAGTGGCTTCCATTCCATTTCTTAAGGCCAGCGGAAGTTTTTACAGAATCAAAGTCAGATTGCATTGATTTTTCCATACTCAGGTATCTCTAAACCTTGTGATCTTGAGTTTACGCAGATATTTTTCCTGGACCAAAGCTAAACTAGAACGACATACAAACGAAAACATTTCTGTCCTGATCAAAACCGTGGAAGCCATATTCTCAGAATGAAATACAAACCATCTGGCCAGTCTACGACTCTCATATAATAAAAATAAAAAAAAAATAAAAATAAAATAAAAACGCTTCTCCAAGGGACTAGGGATGCGTAAGGTCCTATGGAGGTAAACATTTAGACTCATCGAAAGTTGTGTTACAGCAACATATGCAAAGATCTGAATACGTCTAACCTCACACCTGATTGCATTTTGTTAAGACAAACACATTTCTGGAGACAACTTAGCCGGACACACCTGCATGATTCTTCATCAAAACGCTGCTGTCTGGAGGCACAAACAGAGGAAGTGAGTGGACAGCGATGGATCGGTCTTGGTTGGAGAATGGGCTCAGGTCTGGGAAGACAGTCACAGACCTCCACATCTATCTCACAGTCAGGCATCCATGAACTGAGAGGAAGCTCTAAGAGAGAGACGATGATTAAGGTATTTTCTTTTTTTTAAAAGACAAGGGTAATGCGGTAATGTGAAGTACTGGACATCTGAGTATTCGGTGTCTGGCACACAGCGGTCAAGTGAGGCTCTCTGACAGATATTGAATTCACATTGTTCTTTTTTTGTGCCAGTGATGTGCAGTTAAACAAGGAATCAGTACCTGTACATGTCTAATGCTTTTTCTAAGTTGAAAGAATATAGCACAACATAAAAAAAGTTCCTGATTACTCAAAGGATGAAAATCTGAGGCACGTTTTGGGTATTCCAGAATTTGAAAATATTCTCATTTGTTACTTGCTGCTAACCTTGGCTTCCCTATTAGAATTTGTTCTCTGACCTTTTTTTTGCTGCCGATGAGCAGCAAAAAGGAGATATTTTAAAGGCATGTGCTATCAGGGCAGTTGTATTCTGCTGAATGACCGGAATGTAATCCATACAGTTGGGAAAAGAAACCTTTAGCTCCTTTAGCTGCATACCCTGCAGGAAGATCCGCCTTTTACCTGTCAAAGAATGAATTCTAGTCTCACTGTTAAAGGCACACCTGTTGTACTGGAAGGGTAAGGTATGCATTTCTCAGTTGCACAGTCCCAAATGAATCCCCTGGCACAAAGTCTCCTGGAGTCCTCTGCTTCTGACAGCTGGCTCACCAGTGAACAGCTGGAACAGGGATTAAAAACATGGGTTAACAATGCCTTTTCACCAAAAACACCACGCCAAATTCATTTGTGAAGTAAAACCAGTTGAGATTTCGGACTCACCCATCGCTCCTGTGCGGCCGAGCGTTACGGCGAATGATGGCCGGCTCCATGCACCTGCACTCGGTGTGGTTTACCACTTTTATCAGGACGGGTTCGGGCACAAACTTGAACGGAATAAAACTAAGGACCTGAAATACAGAATTACGCAGTTGTTTGTACTTTTATCTGTTAACCCGATTCTTTAGTTGGAAACCTGAGAATAAAACAGAGTGGATCGAAAGTATGAAAAATGACATTTATTTGGTCACAGGCAAAGTATCTCAGCTGGGCTCTTCACAGACAAAAACCTCTTTCTGGGTCTCAGTTGGCCAAGACCCCCGAGATCTGGGTGTGATGGGCATTATCTCCTTGATGATAGACTGGACATAACCAAGTCCTATTGGCTAGTTACCTCCGGTCATGAACAGGCCAGGTCCTAATTCATGCAGATAACATTGGAATGTGGTAACAAATGGTGTGTGTTTGTGTTGAGCTAAAGGTGTGGATCTAATGCAACAGAGGAAGAAAAAGAGAGAAAAGGAGAGTCTGTGGACACAGCCAGAGACTTTAACACGAAAGTACAGTTCTAAAAGGAATAAGATCCTCAGTAATTGACATAGATCGTGTTATAGCATACTATGCTAAACTGAGTAATTATAGCCAAATTCTAACAATCAGTGGAAACCCTGCCGATGTCCAAAACTTTGACAAACTCCATCATAGCAATGTGAGATGCAGCCACTCACAGTTTTATTCACATATACAGCCGTTGTGTTCCTGCAGGTGACCCCCTCTTGATTGCAGCAACCACTGCACCTGTCAGTCGGAAAAAAAACAAACCCATCAACACCTGCTAGAGAAGCCCATGTGGCAGAGACCTAAAGTAACAGCATTATAGTTGGCATGGCATCACCGATTGGTTCATCTTTAGTGATTCATCCACAGACATTTTTAAGAACTAAAGTTCTGGGCGCAACACAGACCTGTGGACAGAGACACAGGGTGGTTTGAAGAAGATGGAGGGACTGGTGCCCATCTCCTTGGCCACATCGACACATGTCTCCCTGGGCATGCACTGAGTGCGTTGCCACTCTTCATCAATGGCTAAACGGGAAAGAAAATCAACACAAAACTGTTATCAGGCTGCACATAAAGCCCGACAGGTTCTCCCAGAGTGAGCTATAAACATCTCTGGGCACACGGTGGTTGAGCGATCCTGAGAGAGGTAGAAACTTTTTTTATTCTGTTGTTGTTTTGTGTAAAAAAAAATTAGACATCTTGTGATGTGAACTATGACCAATGAGAATGAGAAGTGTACATTTTTTCCCCCAATTCTTAACACAAACAAAACCATGGAAATGTATTCTAACCCTTGCAACTCCTAACTTGAACCAGAAGGTGGGAGTAAAGTAGAAAAATAAGATCTTGCAGAAGTGTAGCACAAGCAGATAAAGGATAGTAGAAAAAATACTTCAGGAAGAAATTAGAACTAGCACTAAATATTAAGAACCACCTTTTCTCCTGATACTAAAGTCTTGTCCCGGTTGAAATGGCCAATGTGGTTGTCATAACATTACAAGGATTCTGTTATGAATGAAAGTATTTTGACTTGAGCTTCAACTAGGAGAGAACTGAGGCGATAATTACAATATCAGGCTATTTGTTGGCAGACCTTCAGATATCAATGTAATGTACAACTGCAGGTATTTTACAATCTATCTCTATATTGCGTTCCATAAGGCATGTTTTCTCCAACCTTGGAGTATCTCCAGGCTGAAGGACTCGGCGGCGTAGCGTGTGGAGCGGTGTGACCCGAATGAAGGGGGCGAGAAGAGAGTTTCCGCCTGGCTTTCGGGCTGTTGCAGTTTCAGACGACATTTCCACAACTTCCAGTCAGGAAAGTCTGTGAGCCGCAGCAGCTCATCCATGCTGGAGGAGGATCTCACTTCCCTTTCCCACTGCTTCATTACCTGCTGGGATCATAGAATAAAAATGATGGGTCTGTTTGATTTGCGTTTAAAACCATTAACTTTGACCCTAACTTGGGACGGTTATGATTCCAGGGGAAATCATCTGTACAAGGCTTTGGAAAAATTATCTTTCTTTGGCAATAATTGTGCAGCAAAATATGAATACAAACCCAAGAAGATAAGGAAAGTTCATGATGTAATGAGACAGAGGGTAAATATAACATTATTTTATTAATTAGGGGCTGAATTTGAACACAAACTGGACATTAGCATTTTGACTTTGTCAACACGAGCGAGCAGGAATTGAAAAAATCCCCCTCATAGTCTCTGACGGGCAGTTTGCTTGGTTTTAAATATAAAAAAAAGACCAGTAGCATATATGTCGACACTATATGTGTAAAGACTCTCCTATGACATAAAAGGATCATGTTATTGCTTTGCTGTGCATTATGAATTAGTTCTGCTGATATGTGTCTTATATTGAGGCTGCACTGAGATGATTACATCCTTCGTGTCTCAGACAACTGAGGAGCAGCAGTTTAAAAAAAAAATCTTGGTGTGAACAAGACAAACCATACTCAATTATGACACCCAGAACATTTTGGATTAGAGCAGCCTGGAGTCCACACATGTTGTGTGCAATTATACTGTCCAAATTTAGTACTATTCTTATGACTGTGTATTGGAGCACAGCGTTGGATTTGTAAATAATTGAAGCCACGAGTGGTAATTTAAGATTCTAGGCGCATCCGTGGGAGGCAGAGTGGCGTGGGGGCCCAGGGTGCACGCTGCCTCTCGCCCGTTATCAGCCGGAGGGAGAGGCTCCATCCACCCCGCGCCCCGTTGGGCATCAGCGGCATAAAAAATGGATGGCTGGATGGCACAAAGGCCACTAGATGTGCATAAAAGATGACCATGGAAACTTCCTCTGAGAGCATGAATTCAGGATTTTTTAAAAACCAATTTTCCTCTTTGTTTCTAATCTTCAGGACGGTGAAGTGGTGTTTGAGAATTGGCTGAACCTGGAGAGTGTAGAATTAAGTGTCTGTCAAGAGTTCCTTCTGTCATTGGATGATCTTGTCTATAAAAAGTTTTGAGGGAATAAAAAACATTGTAACAGGTTATGTTATCTTTATTTTTGCAATTTGTTCATTTAAATCTGTGTTTGTGTTTAATAAAAGATAATGACTACCACTGTGTTCCACTCATTTCTATTGTGATTTTAAACCCATATTGGTTCCCTGTATGCTCAGTTTAATCCAGAATCCACCTCGACAATTCATGAGGCTGGAAACTTCTGCTTTGGTTATATATACCAGTTGCTAATCTGGTTGCCTTGGTAATAAGTAAAAATCTGTTTCAGAGGTGTCAGACCCGGGAGAAAATGTTGGCCTCAAGGGAGGACTATGTATCTTTTTTCTTCTTTACTCAGTCTTGATAATGAATTTGTTGCTAATCAAGGCTGAACTGACCACCAGGGAAAGTTCCTCTCAAAAGCAAAGTTCCTTAATTCTGTTTTTTTACTTGGAAGTGAAAGCAACTGACGTTCTGCAGCCATATGACAAAATAACATATGCTGTCCTGTCATGTCTTTATTTAATCATCTGTGTTTGTTCATGAACAAGCCAAATAAATTATATTTGTAAAAATTATAGGCATGCAGACAGATTTAAACTGATGGCTTCTTAAATGAAAAAGAGTTTTCCAAAAAAGCTTCAGACCTGCCCTTTGAGGCATGCAACGAAAAGACATGTAGCGGATGCACACGTGCACGTTTGACATAAAACTGAAGCTGGGTGTAAGTCGATCCTTAGCACAGCTCCGTCAGAAGTGGAAAGGCTGCTGTGTCTCAGCTGTGTGAGAAAACCATAAAACCACATGTCATGCCACCGCAGAAAGGCAGAGATCTGAGGGTGACGTAAACCAGAACAAAATGGAAGCAGAGAGAATTACGGTAAAAATGAGTGTCTTCAGTTGAACTTTTCTCTCCCTCCCACTAAACCTCAAGTCATTCCCTTTGTGAAGGATTTTTATTGTTTTGTTTTTCCCTTTGACATGTTAATAGACAACAAAGCCAAAGATGTGACCGAAATGAGCTGGAGAAGGGATGGGAGTGGAATTAAGATTTAGAACTTCCCCGAGCCGTGTTTGAGGTGGGAAAAGCCAAATGGCAGGTCTACAACATGGAAGCAGTTATTCCCTCCACAGCCTTTGCTTTGTTTCCTGTCAATAACTGTGACACTAAATACCCATTCATTTCTTTGGTTTCTTCCAAAATTGGGTGGAGTAGGGCTGCAAGTTGACAGCTTCCACTTCTGTCTGACAAAGTACAGAAATGATGGAAGTCCTGCCTTTTTTTAATATCTTCCAGATATGCCCTTTGAGTAAAAACCGAATAAGAGACAAAGCAAGCACCATGCAGAGGGACAAAGTAAAGATCAGATAAAGGCTGAATTAAAATGGATATGAGTGACAGATGAGAAAACTACTGTAATTTGAGGAGATTAAAATGGTTTGAATATCCCTCTCACTGGCATTTCTGGGTAAACCACATGTATGTTTTTTACTGTAAAGTTGTGGATTTACAGCAAAGGGAGAAGCTGGTTGAGTGAGAAGTTTATGATCTACTGAACAAAAATAAATGGAGAGACAATAACCTCTCAGAGGTTTAATCACAGATCAGCTGTAGGAAGCTATAAGATACAGAAGGCTTTCTCATATTGCTTCCTTTCTTGGTCATAAATGGCTATACTTCTAGACACAAAGCTTTGTTAAACACTTACCCTACTTCCTCCTTCTGTGTGCACGCTGTGGCCCACACTTATCCAGCCGAGCTCCACCACCAAAGCCACCATCACAGACATTCTACACAGGCTCTGCTTCACCCTCGTCATCCTCACCATCCTTTGGGTCTGTCCTCTGTCTCTGAGCAGCGCGGCGAAGGCTCTCTGAGTTGGCCGCCTCCTCGGCCCCGTTTCCCAGAGCAGTTGAGCCCCTCAGACCACACACTCTGTCCTCAGAGCAGCTATTCGCATCACAAACTCTTGGATCTTCCAGCTGCACAGTAGAGTGTGTGTGTGTGTGTGTGTCTGGGCCAGACGTAACCTGTCACATCAACCCAGACGCCCTTGAGCCAAATGGAGAGTGGGCTTTTAAAACCTGGACGTGCTGCTAAGGCTTTGATGTAGAAACCAAGGTGTCCAGTTAAATAATGACTATGGCAAAGGTTCTTTGAATTGCCTCCCGAAGAACATTAAAAAAAAATCTGCACATTCTTTTGTACTTTGAGATACTCAGGCCTGATGAGCTGAAGAACTCCTTACTTCTCATTTTATCATTAGTTGGCACATTATCTATTTGTTTTTTGCATTGGAAAATAAGAGGAAAAAACAACAAACCACACAAAAAACAGTGATATCTGCACAAGTTCTTCTTCTATGATCCCATCATAAAAAGCTCCTGTCTGTCCTGGTCTGACTGATTGTTTCTTCACGTGCTGCAGGTCCTCTGGGTTAAAGCCCACTCTTTTTTTTCTGCCTCTGCTGTTACTTTTTTCAGTATCCGTACGTCAAGTGAACAAGTCCCATGCCCTTAAAATCCAGTGTCCTCTCTTCCGCAGTTACCAAACTCACACTGCCTGAACGCAACAACATGTGTCTTAAATGTGATCCAGACCTCCATAACGTGTGAAGGGGAAGGAAGCTGGCAGAGCAAACCCTGTCTCAAACACACTCCACCCACTTGAGTATGCAGGCCGTTGTGATTTAGGACGTATTCTGCTAGAAAAATCCATAATGGCACATACAGGACCAACACAAATGCATTTTAGTTTTATTCCACTGCTTATGGTAGTAACAGATAAGAGATAAAAACACGGATTTGTGATAATAAATATATCAAATCATATGGAAAGTTTTACATTATACATTTTACATTATTATCATATATTTAGGCAGGAGCAGACTCAGCTTTATGGATTTTTAGGCCACATTCTGAATGATTGTATCTATGTCCATTCCGCAACACAGCCTTAATGGTACAGATTGTCATAGAAAAATGAAAGATGAGGAGAGCAAACAAGTGCACACGTTTCATTTAGGAAAGGGAGCTCAAACCAAGTCAAAGGAAAAAGGTAAATGGATGTGTAGCTGTGTGTCATTGTATCGAACTAAGTTCAAGATAACAACGCTCAGAGTTTTTGTCAGCTACTGGATTTAAAAACATTATTATGTATTTTCAAAAGAATGACACCTCGTATATTCAGTATAACTCTGTTCATGGATCTCTTCAGACAGAGCCATTCTACAAATCAAACAACTACACTGTCCCCCTAACTTAAAAAAAAAGAAGACCATGTGCCTTGTGGATGATTCAGTGAATAAATAAATGGGAACACAATTTAACTGACCATTTGACAGAGCAAATTTGAAACCTCCACCAGAGTTCAAACAGAGTCTCTGATTTTGGACCTCCAGCTTTTGGCTCTTTCAAAGCCATTTCTGCCAGTTTGGTAGTCTTTGATAGCCTCTCTGATCTCCTCTTCTGTGTTCATCACAAACGGACCTGAGGGCAGACACAGCCGTTTGTTACGACATAGGCGTGGATTCAGCTGTGGTTCCAGCCTCTCTGCTGTTCAGGGACGGGTTGCATTTAGTTTAAGGAAATGAAACTGAAATAAAGAGAAAAGCATACCATGCTGTACCACAGGCTCATTGATTGGTTTTCCAGCAATCAGCACGAAGTGAGAGCTCGAAGGGCCCTGAGAGAGAAATGCAGAAGGTTTTATCGTTGTGTGAGAAGTGATTGAACTTAGGGTCAGTTGTTAGTTGCAATGAGCATCCCACAAAAATGGGATCCTGATAAACAAAAAGACACAAATCAATGTGGTCACAAATGAAGGGATCAGCTTTTATATAGAATGGTATTGATTTTTCTAGACTTTTGTGACTAGACTTTTCATTTCAATGTTTTGTCTCTGTACAGACCCAAGAAAGGATCATGTGAAACAATCTTTGAGGGAAAATAGTGAGCTAACATAATGTACAGTGCAAACTGTAACTGGTATTAAAATGATTGAGGAATTCTGCACTGGAGAGAGTTATGGGGCTTTTCTGACTTAAGATTAAAATTTTAGAACAGAAAACACACACAAAATTTAAAAAAGGACGTCCACTGCAGGAACTTGAGGCATGTATGAGCTGACTCAGTCATGCAGGAAAAAATTGCTGTCTGTTTTCATTTCTGGGCAGAAGAAATACAAGAATCGTGCAAGTTTGTACTAATTTTACTGTCCTTTTTTAAAAAAACAAACACACCAAGCTGTCTGGTCATACCAAAGGGGATTTTACATCTTAACGTTTAGCTGGTATTTTCTTTTTGAGATATTTTATTGACGTAACCAACTGACCGTGGTGGGACTGCAGAACCACATAAAATCTATCTGACCAGTTTCCCTTCAGGAACTAACACACTCTGCTGAAAAGACAGAAAAATTCACACATGTAGCTCATAACACTGACATTCTTGCATGACCCAAAAATCATGTGCGAGTGTACAGAAATAATAATTTGTTTCAGGAATTATACAAAATGCACACAGACAAAGAAGAAAAAAATTATCACGTGAGAACAAAACCACATCGACAAAGGGATTAACAACATGACAGCTAAGGAGTGGGGCTGCTCATTTTCCAAAAACCTGTATTATTCGTACTTTGTTCAGGGACAATGAGGAGTGCCAGCGTACAAAGCTGAAGCATAAACAGCAATATGGGCTTTGTGATGTCCAGGCAGCATGTACAGGTTCATTTTCTTCTTACCTTGTTTTCAAATTTGATGCCATCTCCATCGCCCATCACCACAGTGTGGTGGGGCTCCACCTGCTGCTGCTCCTGATCAGGGCCTGAAAAAACAAGATTTGTAGTTTTTTTCCTCACTTCTAAAATGCACAAACTCTTATTATTGCTTCAGTGTATTCATTTTTTGTCAGTCCCAGTATGAAAACATTGCCACTGGTCTGTAGGACAATTCAGCCTCTTTAACTTGATGATCAAAAATGTTGTTTCAACTGAGGACATTTTTAAATTATTTTATTTTACAAAGACAAGGAGAAGTGGAGTTTCTTTTTGTATTTAACTTTTTTTGTGTGTGCGTGTGTTACCAGCTGAGAAGTGTTAACGTACTGACAATCATTCCAGGATATGACAAATCTTTGTGGCATGGGAAAACCAGTGGCGGTAACACAGAAGGAATTTGACCTGCAGGTTTTCAAAATGTTCCCTTGTTTAAGTCAGTCTGCATGCTCAAACCCTTTCTAATGGTGGATACTGAGGAAACCAGGCAGCTGTGATTCCGTTGCATTCATTAATCAAACCCAGCTGCCCCAAGACATCATGTGGAGATGGAGACTTAAAATTCAAATAACTTCTTTTTTTTTAGCAGCCCTTTTAAGCCTCCCATGTCATCAAAACATCTGGCAGCCATTATATAAAGTCTGAGAGATCCTGTGGTGCAACAAAGGAGAGTGATTGAAACAATGAGATTTTAATATAGGAAGACTAAATAAGAGGAGTTATTACAAACCAACAAAGCCCTCAAAATATGACTTCCGATTTTAAAAGTGTTTGTTCTCATGCAAAGGAAATTCCCTGATCACCGTATTCGGAAAAAGAAAACAAGATATTCTACAAGATATTTAAGCAGCAACACTGATAAAACAGTTAAATCATGTGAGCGATGTGAGGTCAGAGTAGGAAAAATGTCGGGACTTATTCCACTGATTTGGCGTCAACTTTGAACAAAGCTGACACCCTGTGATCACAGCAGAGTGACAGCACTAACACACCCAGACTCTGAGGCTCAAGTGCTTTTTGGCTGGGAAGCTGTAACTGGCTTGAGATCACACACACACTTATAATCTAGCAATGGCAGAAAATGAAAGGATGAAAGAGTCCAGAAAGCCTCAGATATGAAGCCATCTAATGCCAGCATCCTATCTAACAGGGATTTCTTCCTTCCATTTAAATAAACATTTAGTAAAATCCTCTCTATGAGGAGATTAATTATATTTATGTGTATTCAGGTTAAAATAATGTTTGAGGCCCAGAGCGCACAAAACTCACCGACATGAATAGTTCCTGATAGAGTATAGATGAAGGTAGTCCATCCTGTGAAACATAGATGTTCTTTAAAGGTCGAAAATGATAACAATCCTCTTACAAAAGTAATATGCTCTTAAACCTGCGATAAAAAACTAAGAAAAAAATGGCTTCTTCCAATTACCAGAAACAATTTAGTTACAAAACCCATCATTTCAGGGTAATAACTAACAGCTGATAGCAAGCGGCTGCAGCTGCTCTGCCATTTTAGCCCTCAAAAAGAAGAATGATCAATATAATCCTGGTAGTTTGGTCAATTTTCACTAGAACTGTGCCATCCAAAAAAAATCCAAAGATTAGCGACACTGACTGTAATTACAACAATGTGTAAATACAAGCAGTGGCAAACAGTCATGGACACAGATTTAAGATCACAATAACAAAAAGTCACAAAAGAAATGAGGAATTAACATGAGCATCTTTCCACGCTTCCTTTTCAATCCAAGTTAGAAGCACAAAGAGGTATTTACAAATGTTTTCCTACCGACGGGAACTGGCTGCACATGCGTGGCTCCTGGCTGCATTTTGAAGTCCAGGTACAAAGTTGGTGTCCTTGTGTAGACCTTAGACTATAAAATAAAAGAACGGAAAAAGCATTGTGAGAAAAAGTTAACATATAATCTTATTGATAAATAATTAACAGCTTTGAAACATGAATATATTATTTAAAATTGTCACACATTCATTTCCTTTATACTGTTACAGTATGGATGAAATATAAAAAATTTAAAGTTATATGCCATTTGATCGACAGACAGACGGACGCATGCCTTTGCTCCTAAAGCCTCTCCGGATATCACCAAGACTGTAACCCCCCCCTGGCTGGGTTTGGGGATCTCTGAGCATTTGAGCTCCTGGTACGCCGGTTCCACCATCTTTTCTCGCTTCGACAGGTTCACCCAGAGTTGTAAGCCCACCACCGGCTCTTCTGACACGGGCATCTCGGCGTGGACCACCCCGCGTCCTGCAGTCATCCACTGGTGGACAACAACAAATATCTCTCACAGCAAGGACACAGTCGGACAATAGGACACTTGTACAGACATGTCATTTGTTTAATTATTTTAGCAGAATGGAGATAAAAGGAGGAGGAAGTTTGAATCGTTGCCTCAGTGTTGTGGAGATTTTGAGTTCACTGCCAGATATAATAGATGAGACTGGACTCCCATTGAGGACACAAAATGAATATCAGCATGACAGTTTCTTTCTTCTAAACGTGGCCGCAGGGAGAACTTCAGTGTCTCTAATCAGCTTGGAGACAGAAGGGTGAGAGTAAAAAGGTGGAGTCGTCTTGAGCATCTCTGCACGTCAGATGTTAAACTGTCGGGCGGGAGCTCCTGCACATCTTATCTACGACTAGAGTTCACTTTTTCATCTGCTAACATGCTGTCAAGCTATTGAAACAGCATCAAGGTCCAGTCGTGTTCAGCTCGGAAGATTCTAGGCCTCAACTTACATTTTGTGGAGTTTGTCATCTTAAACTTCAGCATCTATAGCATGACAACAACCGACTTTTACTTTAATGAACCACCGCTTTCATAGCCAGTCGTCTGTTTGAGCATCTGCAGCTCCCACGAGCGGCCCGAGCCAACAAAGGGAACATGTGGAGGGGTAGAGCAAATTCAGATGAACTGCCTGAACTTTATCTGCAGATTGAGGCTGAGTCAGCAGCCTGTGCGTTTGCATGTGTGAATGAAACTTTACAGCCTTAAAACACAGGAAAAAACCCACAAGGCATAATATCCAATTAGTGGGAGTGCTCAACAAAAAAATGCATACGCTATGAGATTGCAGGGACCCTTTGCCAATACACTTGAGTCTTGTTCTGCCAATAGAGTTTCATATTAAGGGAACAGAGGGCTTCTGATTCATTAAACACTCACAATTACAATTAGGGAACTCGCTTTATATTTCAAAATGGTATCAGGCAATTTGTGTCAACTTGAAAGAGCTTGTTCAACTTGTGAAAGATAGTAAATGGATTAAAAGAATAATTTGAAATTTGGGGAGAGCTGTCTTCAAAAAGCTGCTGGGCAGATATTAATAAATGAATCATTTACAGGAAATATGGTGCCACCAAGAAATTGGACAGTCACAACAATGTGTCTAAAATTTGGAGGAAGTATAAAAAAGGAATGTTTTAAAAAGCCAAAACACTCTACCATTAAATGATGATTTTGTGTCGTATATTAACTGCTTTGTTAAAATCTCTGCTAAGTAAAATCTGCTGAATAAAAATCTACTGGTGTGGTTGCATTTCTTACTTGCAGATCTCCAGGTTTCAGTCTTCCCGAATGTCCACAAAAGTCTTCGTGGGCTGTGACTCCCTCTAAAACATATGTTACCTGAAACACGAACACACACATACACACCATAAACATCTAAACTGCTCCAATTATTTGGAAACATTTCAATGGCAAATGTAATAAAACAATAAACAAATCTGCATTACAGTATGTCATATATTGGTCAATGCTCAATTTGAAAATTTTTAATGTAACTTGTGCCTGTGCTTAGCAAAGAAGTGCCTCCTCGGCACTTTTGCATTCATTTCAGACCTGAGAAGGAGAAAAGTTTTGAGTATGGGGCTCAAAGGTGAACATCTGTGTAAGGTAGGGAAGCTGGGGCCCCTGCAGTGAACTGCGTGTCATCTGTCTCCACAGCTGGGTCATTTGGAAAACCACGTGAGTGTGAGCAAACACACCTGCTGAAAGGCATGCTGGGAGTGAAGCGCCGCTCTATCCACCCACACTGGGTGATTGAAGTTGCACCTGCCAACTCAAACACACTTCGGGGGAATGTCTGGCACACTACCGCCAAAGGCTGATGTGTTAAAGATGTGCGTCCAACTCGCAACATTAGCCTCGTTCATCAGTGAGGGAGGAGTATTTCAGGGTGGAAAAGCAAGAAAAATCATGATGAAGAGTTGCAAAGTAAGCTGAGTTTCAATAACCAAGCAACAAAAATAAAAGTGTTTGAAGGATGGATGGATGGATGGATGAATTAAAAGAAAATGAAAGAAGCACTCTAAGTACTGACATTTGACATAGTTTCCCCTCCATGGCCACAGTCTGGCTGGTGCCATCTAGTGGTTAGAGTCAGACTTTCACCCCTCAGTCATTCCTGTTGTTTGAGTCAGCTGCTCTGTGAGGAATTTAATCGCTTTTACATCAGTAGGCAGACAAATGTGGGATGTGCTCAAATCTACATGCAAAACACTGTGTACTCCCTTTATTGTCTCTGTGTGTGTGCGTTAATATGCTGAATCAAATGCCTAAAATCAGAAATGAATCTCAGTCAAAATAACTGAAAATAGACGAGGAAAGGTCTTGTCTTTTAGGCGTCATTGTTTTCTAAAGTAAACTGATCAACCTGAGCACTTTGCTGGTTTTATTCCACCGCCGACAAAAAAAAGGGAAAAAAGGCTAAGGTTCAGGTCTTGATCACAGAAACAAACATGAGTTTTATTTTTCACAACATTCACCAAAAGAGGCTTTAAATTCTCTGCTGCATCGTCTTACCGTCTCAAATCCTCTGTGAGGATGGTCGGGGAAACCTGCTGGCTTGCTCACTTTAAACTCGTCCAGCATCAGGAAAGGATCCAGGTTTCTGAGCTGAAAGTACAACATGTGAAGCTAAAAAAAATAATATGTGCATGCCTGCTGTTATAGCCATAATGTAAACTTTGACAGCTGGGATATAATTTGTTGAGACGCTTACTTCCTTCCTCCCGATGCTTCTGCGAACCCGTGCACCGACTCCCTCAGCCTGCTCCACACTCAGAACCATCTTTTCCACCTTCCTCAAGTTCATTTTTCATGCAAAGGCTTTAGGGTCTGCAGAACAACAATATAAACACGTGTTAAGTCTTTATGAAAAAGTTATACATTATTATGACTTATTTTTGTGAACATATAAAAACAGTGTTAGACTCCTCCTTCTGATATTGGAAAAACTATTAAAAATAACTATTAAAATTATATACCTGTTTTTAAGTAGTTAGGGGAGTTTTGATCTACTTTACAATGTAAAGGCAATGTTAAATGCATAGAATCAGCATTAAGCTGTATGATACCATTAAAAGGCTTTTTTTGCAGGAGTTGCTTGAAATTGAAGCATGTGGGACGTCTAAAAAAAGACATTTGAAAATCTCACAAGTCTGCTTTTCCCAGGGCTTCCAGATTAAACGACACCTGGGAGGACTGTTCGAAGACCATTGAGAGCGGTCAACTGATCAGACAAGCGGGCAGTTAGCTGGTTCCGGGGTCGGTCGGTTGTTCAGTCACGCGAATTTCAAACAGAATCCGTCCAGCGACACTGTGCGCAAATATCCTTGTTTTTATGAGAACGTTTATTCTCTGGACGCTGAAGCGACCAGCTCCGACTTCACGGATTTGTTGACGGTCGTTACTTCCTCATTCGTGTCCATGGTAACGCCGCCAAACGTTTCCGGCCCTCCCCTGAAGCCCAACCACTGCTCCCAGGTCACATTAAGACACGCTTTACATAGCCTTTAAAGTCCAATATTTAGCTACGGTTTCAGTCCACAGAGAGTTTTCAATTTCTTACGATAATTTTTCGTTTAAAAAATAAATAAAATTAAAGCAATTTTACAATTTACCGTCAAAGAGAAATGTGAGCACTTACCTGTCCGAGCAGGCACGCTACGGTGTTGTTTATTCTTATCTTTATTTTCCAATAAGAATCTTATAGCGGCATGGATACTATATGAGTGTAACTCCTGTCGTCTCAAGCAGGATTAAATTCCGGAAGTGAAGAGGGGGCGGAACCATGTTTTGACTAGCGTTACCTCGACAAAGGGTGGAGGTCCCTGGACTGTTTCAGGCTGAGACATCCGTTCGTGCCTCCAAACTCTAAGGCTGTTCCCCGCAGTTGGATTAATTGGTGACCCTAGACTGATACTGGAGGTGGGTGAGGGCTCCAGCCTCCTCGTGAACCTCTCTTGGATAAACCAGGAATGGAAAATGGCCAATAGAGACTAACAGGAAAGTAAACAAAAAGTCTATTAACGCCAGGTCACCTTAATTTACCCTGAAATAAAAATAAAATGTCATAAGCCTTTACAAAATAAAGAAAACAAACTTAATTAGCCTGTAAAACAAAACAATGACATAAAAGCCCAAAGAAAAATTAAATATGACCCTAAAGAGATAGAAAGTGACCATAAAAAAATCATATATGTGGAATAGGTTGGGTAGAGGATGTAACAACTGCAGCATCTCAAATTAACTGGAACACAACATCATTATCTGTGGTTTGAGGATGTTCTGTGTTTATTTTGTTCTGAATCATTATCATTATTATTATAACTTTTTTTGAATGACACAATGAAAGCTCATGCGCAAATAATCAATTTGGAGGTAAATACCACGTAAATTATGATATTTAGACCATGTCACAACGAACAGAATGTGTTTTTGTGCATTCACCGTTTAGTCCAAGGACACCATAAGAAACCCTAAATTGCACTAATCACATAGCCTACCACACACGCACACATTAATGTTAAAGCCACAAAAGTCCTCGCATCTGTTGAACATAATCTTCTGTTTTTGATTTGTCCCCGTTCGTGTTGAGAGCTTGCGTAGCGTCCTGTAGCTGACGGAACATGATGTCCTTTGTGATTCGCATGCTGGCAGCTTGTCCTCCAGCCAAGTTTACGGCATGAGGTCCAACCTGTGTGGGAAGATGGAGAAAAGGTTCCAGGTCTCCAGATTCAGTCTTTTGCATGGTGAAACATTATAAATACGTCAAAGCCTACCTGAAGAGCGGTGTACTGCCCCATCAGGTAGAGTGGACACCCTTCTGTCCACTGTAAACTCTCTGATATGCACGGCCATCCGTCTATCACCTTTAGACCACCAAAGCCATCAGAGCATCTTATTATCTGAGTGTTTTCCGGGCCACAGTTTATCGTAAGGGCTCAAATAAAAACAATGCCTTCTGTTCCCCATCATGTAATACTGTAATAGAACATTTTAGTTTAAACTCACCTGAATTGGGAATTTTTTAATAACTTCAGAAAGCAGCGAGTCCTCTTTCACATCAAGTTTGCAGCCGGTGGCGAGCCAGATCATATCTCCCGTCCAATGGTCCCCAGAGCTGAGAGACAGACTCCACGCCTGGTTCTTGTAGTCCCAGCTAGCTTCGCTCACCTGGTTTGAGATTCAAGTTCATTCTCTGGCAAAGAAATTGTATGCACAGTAACATGTGGCCAAAAATACGGTGATGGCTTTATTTCAGATATTCAAATGTGGCTGCTCTTTAACCCAGAGGTAAGCCCAATTTCACAGCATTTTTAATGAAAAGAGTGCAATGCAACTACACAATCAAGTAGATTGTTTGGTGATGTGTATGTTTAGTCAGGACCTTTAGATACATTTAGAATGACAGATTACTGTAATAGTTTTACATGGAAGTGCAGATCATTTTCTCTTTGCATTAATCGGCTGATCATTAAGTCGGTGAAAAAAATCTTAAAATTTAAAGGTGTTTTATAGTTTGAGAGACACATGCAAATTGTCTTTTTGTATTCTCTTTGCCTCTATACCATTACCTGACAGTATGCCTTCACCTCCACCTGTCCGCTCAGGATGAAGGGCTGAAGGTGGGTGTAGGCCTCTGGGGTGACGGCTCCTCCTTTCCTGGCCTGGCGAATCATAGCCAGCCGTTTGTGGAGACTCCTCTCGCTGTAGAACTGCCGTAGGTAGGCCTGGCCGTCCAGCTTGATGCCGTGCTCCACGTGGGAGTAACGACCCACCAAGCTCTCCACGTCGCCCACGTCGAACTGCTTCAGCTGCGGGAAACAAACGGGAAAGCGCACGACTTCACGCAGACAAAACGAAGAAGGTTGTTGCTTTGTTTTTTTTTTATTTTAAATTGCTGCTCCACATGCTGATGCACACAGTCACTGGACCTGCAGATGTTTTCTCATGACCCATGTCACATGGCTGGCCCCTTGCCGCAGGGCAATAGAGACGACATGAGCGCTGGTCAGACCTCCACCAACTACCATTACTCTCTGCCCTGCCTCACACACTACATACAGTCCTACACACACACACACGTATACAGTACTTGTTAAAGGGGGACAGGGGCTATGGAAGCTTCTAGAAAGGTCACTGAAGTCTGAGGGGTTGCGGGTCAAAACATGGTATGACATACTCCGCTCAATATTTGGCTTTGAGATGTCACACATTCAGTCAGGTCCTCCTCTAATTAAAAATAAGAGGTGGAATCTTTCTTACCGTGTGGACTAAATGTCTCTTCTGCTGTCTGACGATCTGTTTCTGAGAGTTTTTGCCTGAACTTTGGCAGCCGGTGCATCAGATTGACCGTGTGCTGTAGACGCTCCTCCGGGTAGCTCTCTCCAATATTCCTGACCCACGAGGGGATGTTTGCCATCTGTTCACGGGTCGGACCTGTTGCCACGACGACCCGGAAAGCTTCCAGGACGTCGCCCTCTCGTAGATGGACCTGGAAATGTTTCACTCGCTTTCTCGCTCCACCTGGGACGTTTTCAGCCCCTCCATCTCCTTTCTGTTTGTCGTCCATCTCTTTCTCGTCCTCCATCACAGGGATGATGCGCTCCACTGTTCCCTTCACCAGAACTTCGTCCAGTTTGTATCTCCTCACCTGCACATAGATAAAATCAAATAAGAATGTACATGTATATAACAGCATCACTCCAGATACTTTTAATAAAATGATTACTCAATCTTTTGGAATTTGCTTTCTGGTTTTCCTGGAGTACCTGCTGATTCTCAATTTTCAAAGTTCTATTAAAGTCTAGTTTGAATATTCGTTTGATAGCGGGGAAACTTCTAATGCCTGCAAATCACTGACATTTTTTTTTAAATAAAAGCATCAGTTTTAAAATAGTATTTCTTGAGATCCAGCAGATGGAGCTCAAATGCCATCTTGAGGGGGGTAATCTTCAAACCCACTCAGTCAAGCTCGGCTAACGGAAATATTTGGGTATTTTGAGCAGCACATCTGTTTGATACTGATAAAAAAAATACCAAGGCCTGCGTCAGAGGAACTAGGTAAAGGGTATCGGTGGGCTTCATTCATGTGAATAGTAGCAAAAACGTTTTTCCTCATTCTGAGAAAGAGGAAGAACATCAGAATTCTTCTTTAAAAAGATATAAGAAGACAGATAAGAATTTTACAGACACAGAAAGATTTTAGGAATGATAACAAAGAGGATGTATGCTGCTGTCTGGTGTTAAATTCTGGGTATATCATTTTGGGTTTATTTTCTTTGTTGTTGTAAAGGAAATGTAGTTTACACATTTGAATATTTTTTAGTTTATGCAAATTTCTACAACATTGCTTGTTTTTGTTGTTACGTTATCAGTGTTTTCATTGTCATCCCTTTCTGTGTTTGTAATTTTTTGCATGTTTGTGTAGGTAGAAGGTAGGTAGAAGAGAAAGTATGTTTAAAGCCCTACACCCACTCATTTAAGTGGTACGCTTTTAAATCATCCAGTCAAATATACTAGTGGGAACAAAACAAGTCGAACCTGCTCTTCGAAGAAATCCAGACTGAGCTGGGTTCCCGGCAGACTGAGGGATAAACTGTTCTTCAGCGTGGAGGCGACCCTCAAACGCTTCTTTTCCTTTTTGCCCAGCCGCATATCATTGAAGAATGCATGTTGATCCAGAATGTAGACCTGGTCTGGAAGGCTGTGCAGCTCCGCTGAACGCCCATTAGTCTGAACGTACTCCTGAAACGCTCTCTGTCGAGGACAATATTCACACACGCGTTTCTAAACATGTTCATTCACACGTATACAGTTAGCACATTTTTTTTCTGTCTAAGTTGTTTGGGTAGTACCTTATTGAAAGGATCTGTGTGTACCAGCGTGTGGGAGCGCAGGTGAGGGATGTTCAACGCTGAAAACTGGCTCTCCCACAGAGCAGTCCACTGTCCATAGGCATCTACCACTCGAAGACTAATTGGAGGGTAAGGGATCCTTTCGGATGTTTTTAACTCAGCAAACTTCTCCTCCACTGTCTGGCCTGAACAGACTCATCACAAACAGAATTTGAGTGAGTTTGGCTTAATGTGTCGTGTATATTGTTTATTTCCATACAGTACAGATAGAAAGATGGATAGATAGATGGGTAGATAGATGTATAGATGTATAGATAGATGTATAGATAGATGTATAGATGTATAGATGGATAGATGGATAGATGGATAGATAGATCATTTTTCTTTCCATCCATATCCAAACTGACAGTTTTACTGTTTATTTTTCTGCTACAGTTGAATTTACCATGAAAATAAAAACAATTGTTATGAATAGCTGAATGTAATTTGAGCATGACAGTGAGTGAACACTCTTGATTTAATCGGTCAAGTTAAGCCTAGCACACCGTACCAGCCTTGGCCCTTCTCTTCCGCTTGCCACTGCAGCAGTTGTTGTATGAGGCTTCGGGGTTCGGCCGAGGCCTCTGAGGATCTGAGCAGGAGTGCGAGAGAAGGGGGTCACTTCCATGGTCAGAATTTGGATCAGGGTCAGGCCTGGACAGCAGGCTAGCCAAGGTCAGGGCATGAGGGCCACCACCAATTATCAACACATCGAGCATGACCACCTGAAACACAGGAAATCACACACTCAGCCAGAGATAAGGTCCTCAAAACAAGTCCAGGGAAATACCTCACTGACATACTATTTACCAACTTTTTTTTATGTACTTAAATTCATGCTGAGACATTTCAATGTGGTTCTTCTCAACACGGTCATGTTACTTCTCACATATTCATGTTGAGAGCTGAAGGTTTAAAGGACTTGGTCTGAACTACAAGAATGGCTGGTTAGTTATCTATTGCTAAAACAGCATTCCTAAGCATGTTCAAATGCCACTGTAATGAAAATTGCAATCAGCCGTCGGATACACACACCATTCAGCAGAATATTGTGGTGTTTGTTCGAAGCATGACAGTACCTGGCTGACCTGTCAGCTTATTTCGGCCTGGTGGAAGTGTGCTCGGCCCCTCGGCTCTGGCATGGTCTGGTGGACTGAGGTTTGCTTTGTGACAGTCCTGTGTCCGTCTCATGTAACTCAATCCGCGGCAGCTTCTACAGATTTAGTTGGAGCTCCAAAGGGAAGCTTGAAATAGCCACCGTGTGTGTGTGGGCACACTTGTGTGTGTGCCTGTATAAAGTTAGCAACATATTCATCCCAGTATCAAAACATCGGAGCCATTACACAAAAGTGTGAAGCACCATGCCCCAACATGAAAATCTCTCAGTTATTTGGTTTTTCTTCAAAAAAGTAACTACGGTTATTATGATTGTAAAATTAACCCCCTGTTTGTGTTCATACTAAAGAAGTTCTGCACTTTGTAGTAGTTCCCATTTATAATGCATGACAGTTCATTGTTGTTCCCACTCCTCTTTGAGCATTTATTATTTTAAATAACAGTCACATGCTTCATGTGTGCTAGTATAGTTAAGTATAGCTAAAGGTAATTTAACTCTATATAGTTAGTGATAGTAATTGCCATAACTGAATGTTCTTTCATGTACGTTACAAAGTTCTGTTTTCAAAGAAATCTGTTATATTTGTCGAGTCACTTTTTATCAAAGATATACAGTTCATAACCTACTTCCTCTTTAGACATCCCCATCCACATCTGACAATATGGCTCCACATTACCACTTCCCCTTCTAGCCAGTAGAAACCAAAGCTCACAGAATGCTTTAAAAGTTCCGGCTATTTCTGGTGACTTCACTCTTTGACATTTCTAATCTCACACAGCGGCAGCATGGACGCGACGGTGGGTGTCTCTTACAGGAAAAACCGCTGTCCGCAAGGGAATCTACGTGTGGATATTTAAAGACGTACGTGATGATAAGAGTTTGTGTTCTTATCCGGGTATTTCAGGAGGACCATACTAACGGAGCCGTGCTGATTGTACACCAGATCCACGAGGGAAAGCATCAATACGATGTGGCAAATGTGGTGAAATTCAAAAAAGGCGGTGGGAAAAAAAAGTTTTCCAGGTATGCAGGCTTAAACTCTTTTGTCACGCTCTGCTTTTGCTTTCAAAGGTGTATAAATAGATATGTATACAAACATATATTTTATCTTCTACCAAAAGAGGTGACAAGCTGATGGAGATAAATGGTGTCGACTTACAGGTTGTCACGCCTGAAGAGTTGGCCAAAATGATTTCTGAGGGGAATCCAATGCTGGTGAGTTTGTGTTTCACACACTGAACATTACATCACACACCTTTTTTCTCCAGGCTTCATTTGTCTGGTTTAACTTTTCGGTCTTGCATGTTTAAACATCAAACCAGCTCTATGTGTAGGAGTCTGCGGTTTTTATTGTCTCTGCCTTTTGATCAAAGAAGGCAACTCCCCAAAAGATGCAAAAGAGCGGTTTCAAACATTAAAAATGTGGTGAAGCCGATGATTGAGCTGTTTTTCTCTTCTGCTTCTTTAGACAGTTCACAAACCCGGCAAGAAGGAAGAGGCCCAGTGGTCTCCACCTGATGGGGACATTTTAGAGCCGGACTCCAAAGAGTCAGCAGTCATGAGCTGGTCCTGGGTGATGTCGAGGGAGGAGGAATGTGAAGTCGGGCCAGAGGGAGAGGAAGAGGCCGCCGCGCCTGGTCTGGACGAGGATGTTTGCCCGGGCGAAAGCGAGGAGAGTGGCGATGGGGGGGACCTGCTTATCGTTCAGATGACGAAGACCGTCATCTCGGTGGTGAGTGGCCGGGGCTGCGACGCCGGTAGCCCCTGCCAGGGATGCCACGGCACGGGATGCACCTTCAGTGATGTTGTGGTGGTGTCAGAGTCCAGCATACTGACTGTGGGTGAGTAGGAGGGCTTAACGTCCATGGGTATATGTGTGGTTAACCTTGCCATGTAGTGGGATTGTGGGTTCTGTGTCGCTTAGCACTGTCACCTCAGTGCAAAGGGTGTCTGGATCTATTCATGACTGTGTGGACTTTGCATGTTCTCCTGTATCAATGCATAGTTTTTTCTGAATATTCCACTTTCCGCACTCGGGTAATTATTGATTTTACTCTGGATGAGTACTCAAAATGAGTGTGCTGGGTTGTTTCTGTCTGTGTGGCCCTTGACCTGCCAGTCATGAAATATCCGACTGAGTATTGTATTTTCATGTGAATAATATCTTTTTTACAAAGTTTTTATTTCAATACAATTTCAATCAGTTCTGTTGTTTCTTCAGACTTCTCACACTATTGAAATAGTGTAAAAAGTCTGTGTGGCCTCTGTTTGTTCCCCATGTCGCTTTCAGTTCCTAGTGGAAGTACCAGTTTCAGACAGGAAAAGCTGTCAGAAGTCCTCATTGAACACGTACCTTCTCACCGCTACCTAAGAGGAATCTGTTCGCAAAAGACTCCCTATTCGTCACCCAATCCAGGTTTGTCATTGGGAGCAGAGCACACCAGCATGAGTCCACAGCTCAGTATCACAGCAGAAGTGGCGGTTCACGTCTGGGAGAAAGGTTTGTAACGTGACTTTCTATTTCCCCCTTTGCTCAGAGAAAATCACCATATACTACTACAAGTCGAACAGGGTGGAGCCATCTTTCAGAGGAATGCCAGTGGTTCTAAACCTCACTGACTCAAACTGCTTCCTCAAGTGCTGCCAGGACGGGGACAAGGTACTCTTACAGGTGGAGGTATGTCAATGAAATCATGCAACATTCATTTAGGTTTATTCATACGATTTTTTAAAAGAAAATCAGCCTAAATAAATAGATAACCACATGTAAAAATCTATGGTGATTTATTTAAACATTTCATTTAAGGAAGACTTCTAGTTAAAAAAAAAAGATTGCTTCTTGCAGACGTGTGAAAAGAAGAGGCTGAGGCAGATCTCCAGGAGTGATGACAACACCCTGGCCTTTGTCTTCTACATGAAGGCTGACCGGACAAAGCAGCGTAGGTTTGAATCTGCCCTCCACAAAGGCTGGTTCATCTGTATGGTCAGCACAGACTCAGTGGAAATGGAAAAGCTGGATGGAGGGAGAGAAGACCCATCGTTCCTCTTCGTCATTAAGAAATGACTGGGAGTTTTCTTTTTCAGGCTTTTTCAGGCTAATTTTTTTCAGTCGCTTAAATGCTATTTTAGAAAGAATGAAGCCATGAGTTGTTTGGGACATTTGGTCAAGTGACATGTGACCAAATCACTTTGTCAAATGCTGCTTTGGCACTGGTGTGTAAATGTGTATCCATATGGTGTGTGATGATTGTCACTTTTATTTAAACATATTACAAAGACCTTATCTGATGTACATCAATATAGAATATTTGCATAAAATGAAATGTAATCTGTAAATACACAAGTCTTATAACATAATTATCTATTATAACATAATAATCTTAGGTGCTGTATGCACTTGGTAATCAGAAGGTGCTTTTTCTTGGAAGGCCTCAAAGGTGTAGAATTCAATGGGTTTATTGTGAGTTTGATACATGTGACAAATACCAATTAATGATTCCATGCCTGTTTTGTATTTTATATCCCCAGCAAAGAATCTGGCATAAAATCCTGTGAATGTCAGTTTTTGCCTGTTTTCATTTGATTTTTTTTCTATATCTTGAAGTTGAAAGCAATAAAACGAAATGTGTATCCAACAAAACATTTGCCAAGAGAGATCAAACCTCCAGAGCTAACCATTCAGAGTGTGTATGATGTCTGATTTATCTCTCTGATCTATTGTGTCACACATAATGCATTAGGTGTCAGATGAACGAGTTGTCGTCTGTTTTTGCATTAACATTCAAGTGTTGGTGGTCTGAGGTCTGCAGCAGGAATGAGCAACTCAACGTTTTCATGTCAACATTTTATTCTCTTATGCTGCCTTCAGTTATTTAACAGAAGCATTTCACTTGATGTTTTATAACAAATAAAAATATCAAAACTTCAAAAGAAACTCAAAATCTGAAAATATGCAAAGATTTAACAAGTCCCGCTTTAAAGTCCTGCAACAAACTGACACAACCTGCGACTTAACCCACACCAAATCAATACCGTCAGCTATTAGATTGAGATGTTTTAGAACACTAAACCAATATTTACAGTTTAATTAGTGTAATTAAGTATCACATTTTTTCCTAAAGACTAAATTAGGAAAAATATAACTAAAACAACCTATGCATATGTAAAACTTTACATTTTAGGTACATTAACACAGAGGAATGCTGGATATGAAACAATTAAGTTTATCCTTTGTTAACAAGCATATCAAAATTCTTCAAAAAATAAGACTTTCACACATATTCACAATTTGCACTTTTGACAGTAGCGTCGAGATGCCACGATAAAGAAGAGATCATGGCACCAATGCTTTCCAAGGGCACAAATCTTCCCTTTTTCCATCGTCGCCTTATAATCCAGTTTGTTCATTGTCACTGTCGTCGTAGGCTTTATTACTCACTCCATCAGCGTCTGTGTCATAAGGATTCCCCACAGCAGCCTTTGGACTTTTCCTTCAAACACAGAAGATGCGGCAGAGTTCAGCGTCATCGAACCGATTGATGAGCCACAACAGATACTTTTCTCCGGACCAGACTTACTTCTTGCGCTCTCTGATACCAGATACCACCAGGTATACGCCCAGAAGCACCACGATGCCCATGACCACGCCAAACATCACCAGCCACACCTCCACCGGCTGCTCCTTTGGCGGGGCCAGTGTTGGAGGGACACCCAAAAACTCCAGCGTTTGGTCATCTAGTTGGAAAGCATCATTGAGTCGACCTCGGTACAACCTGGAGGGAAAATTAAGGTTAGCTCAGTTAATTTAAAAAAAAATATGGGTGGCTGTTTCTCACACTCTCAAATGAAAGAATGGGAGAGGAATAATTAGGGATAAACAAAGCTTTTTGAATCTTGAAACGAACAACATAAACTCTTGCCAGTTGAAACAGATCAGCCCTCTAAAAATTCAAAGAGGTCAGAGTTTAATTTTAATGACGACTTTAACGCCCGTATCACGTTTTGCACCAGCCAGTTTTTCCCGTTTTTTCTCAACTGAAGAATGTCCCTGTTTCTCTGCGTCACAATATTTATGACGGCTGTGCAATGTATCCTGTGTCTGATCATCTGAGGCCAGCAGGATGATGTGGTATTACTCTTGAAATACACATATATAAATTGATTTATCCATTTATACATATATGTAAATATTTTTGTTTGTTTGCTTATCTCTGAGATTGATTTCAAGAGAGAAATAAAACATGAAAGAATAATTATGTCGCCAAAAACAGTTAATTGTGTCAATTGTATATATAAAAGGTGTGCCTCACCTTATGGTTTCCTCTATATCAGCCTTTGGTATATAAGTAGAGGGAGCTGTCGGGTTGGTGACCACAAAAAAGAAGGAGATCCTGGGAGTTTCGTTATAGGTGAGTACGTTCTCTGCTCTGTATTGAAACAGATAAAAGCTCTAAAATTTGTGATGCGGAAAGTGACAGTTGGAAAAACAAAGGCATTTAACAGGGTTATATATTTTGGTATTTGCAGGATGAGGGAGGACACTGACGTGAAGAGAAGGGTGGTGTTCCGTTGGCCGTAGTACTGCCTCAGGGCGTAAGCCATGCTGGCCTTGAACAGGTACAACTCATTAGCGTTCCAAGAATACTGAAACACAAAGGAGTCAATTAATGTTCGAACCCTGTTCGAGTGAAAACATTTCAAATGAACAGAAATCATACTCACAGCACTATCACCCATTGCAGACTTCAAACTTATTCTCACTTTAATGGCATTATCTGAGACTGTGAAGTAAATAAAGGAGAAAAAACGTGTAAATTAAGAGTAAAAATTCCTCGTGCTCTTTGAGCCAACCGAAAGAAGCTGTATCATGTTCCCTCTTCAGGGAAAATACCTTGTAACAAATGTATTCATGAAAATACCTCAGCAGCACAAGTCTGTTTCTCTACTTCCCTAAAATGCTGATGGGATTTTTTCATTTTTCATCATTGCCTCTTTAAAAAGTTCCACATCAAATGTCTCAACAGAAGTAACTTTTTTCATCACTGTTATTTCATAATACAGACGAATAGTAAATCCAAACACTTGTCATCCTTTAAAGGCTAATTTCAAGGTTTTGAACTTAAACCCTTAAATATAATAATGCTGTATTAATTTGACCAAACCTGATTGAATTTCTCTTGCAGAGAAGCAGTAAGTTAAATAAAATAGAAAAAAACTCAGCATAGAGAAATGATACCTGTCTGTATTTTAAGTAGAAATGATTTAGTTTTAACATAGGACAAAGCATGAGACCAATGCATATGAACAGTGGAAGGGAGAGGAAATCAGCATTTATATATATATATTGCCTGACCTGTGAAAAAGAGATTATGACATAAACAATGTAACATACAGGACATGAAAAACAAAAAGATAAAGAGACAGACTTGGGAAAGATGGTAGCTCTATACACTATAAAGTGAAGGTCAGGTGGCAGGAGACAAGGAAGAAGATCTACAGACATGGAGTTTGAAGACACAGAGCATGATAACAAGGCTTGAATGAATTTTTTTAGGGCAAGATGCATGCGAAACACATGCCTCTGAGCAACTGCTGAAGATAGAGGTTTATTTATCATGAGATTGACATGTTGGTTCTCAGCTTCTGATTACTGATATCCAAGTCCACGTTTTGTACTCACAGGGATCGACTGTTGGAATCCAGCCAATAGCTCTATTGTTTTTGGCATTCTCCTCCTTCAACCAGTCAAAAAGTGTTTGGAAATACTCCAGAAGAGGGCCGGCATCCATTTTAGTAGTTCCTGATATTGTGTTCAAAGCCTTGGTCCAGGACTGGGACCTTCCCAGCTCTAGCATGTTCCTGGCACAAAAAATAACAAGGATAAGAAGGATTATCAATGTGTTTGTGCATGCTGGTTTCTGCATTAAATGTATCGTTTGAGTAATCAAAATGAGTTTAGAGGGAGCAGCAAAGTGCTCGTACCTTAGCTTGGTTCCTGCTGCAGTGGAACCAGTGATGTCACATGTGGACAGTGGACCTGTGTGACCGGCTGCGTCACATAGGGATTTTTGGAACTGAAACTGGTAGATGGTTCTTGTAAAGTACCTGTGGTGAAAACAATCCACACACACAAACACACATGGATGATAACTTAAGACAGAATGGTTGTAAAATATTTGGGTGTGGTGTATACTGAAGATTTAAACTTTGAGTCTTAGAAATTTGTATGGGGGATTTATCTTTTTAAGTTTATGCTACAATTCCCGGCAAGACTAATACCTGATGAAAGAATAATCTCCAGAGACATGAAACAGAGCTGGTGGGTCACAGTAAGTTTCATCCCTTGGTACTGGCTCCACAACTCCTACCAGTTCCCTCCTGTTAAGACAACAGGGTAGAGACATTCACACAAGTCTGCAGAGCAGAGCAGCATAGCATAGAGTAACGTAACGTCTGAGTTCTTCCGGGTGTCAGCAAATATTTTAGTTTTTTTTATGTGTGTGTGTTTTTATAAAATGCATTCAAAGAGCTGGATCCCTGACAGATGCCCCTCCTCGGGCTCTACTTACTTCATCTCCCACCAGCGCGCCATCCATTCGTCTTTGGAGATATTCCCTGCAAACACTTGCCACCTCCACTCCTCCAGCATGTAGGTGAACGGCAGCGTGGCCACAATAGTCAGGGCCTGTTTCAGCAGGAAGTTGATCTCAGTTTCTACAGCCGCAAATCAAAAAAAGTGAAGGGATTGACATAATTTCAATATTTAATCGTAATACTAGAAAAAACACCTTTTTAAAATCTTTACATCATTTAATGTTTCACCTGAACTATGCAGTATTTATTTTTTGCAGAGAATAGATAAGATTTTTGGACCAGTTTGCAGGTGAATAGTGAGGACCAAGGTCATGATAATAGTGCTCTGCCATTATAGGGTTTTGATACCACTCAGGGCCAACCAACACATCCAGTTTAATGATGAAGTGAAAACTGGCAATTTAAGTGTTTTAGAGAATAGACGTAACTGTCCGCCTTAGGTTTACCTTTGTCATAAACAAAGTCAGCTGGAAGGAGCCCCAGGCTCTGCAGGTGTTTGGGTGTTGCAGCGGAGAGGGACATTATTTCTCCTACGGCCTCGTGGAATCCCTCGTTGGCGCCGTCCCTCAGGAGGTAGGACAGGTTGCGGTAGGCCATCTGATACTGGTTGTGACCCATCTCGTGGTGCACTGTGAGGAAGTTGTCCATGTTGACCTCGGTGCACATTTTAATCCTACAAACATCACACGTGTCGATGTCAGCAGTTATACAATGTGATGCATTCATATCAGATAGAGTAATAAAACAGTCAGAGCAATTACATGTTCCCAATGAGTCCAATATAATGAACGCCGCCTCTAAAGATAGAGGCGAGGTAACAATGTACCATGGTAAACTCTGTTTCCTTAATAACAACTGATAGAGGAGGAGCCATAAAAACAATATTTTGTTTTGGATAGCGTCTTTTTCCGTCGCGTAGCAGCAATTAAGTGGATCGATATCTTTGGTTGTTTTTATCAGCAGGAAAGAACTTGTCAGAGATTAATCTACATTGCTGTTCCTGCAAATCGGATTTATGACCCTCCTCAGTACGAAGTGATCTAAAGTGAACCTTTGAAACATTTCAAATGTCTGATCATTTTCCAGTAACCCCAGGGGGGATGGATGGCGTTTCCTGTAAAAAGCCACTGAGAAGGGTGCATCTCTTTTGGGATATCTGAGATATGGCTCATCATGCGGGAAGCTTTCGGGACCTTGAAAAAGTTTCACAAGCAATTGTCGTGGAAGTTGTGTGTTGAAGTACGCGGTTGTTTGTGTAATCAAAATAGAGCATGCACACGTGCAGGCATCTGTGAATGTATCCACCTGAAGTCCTCCCTGTTTCCCATGTCCCAGGCTGTGGGGTGACAGACCACGTTTCGGCCATCGTCGGGCTTCACCAGCATGGAGTTAGTCCAGAAGTTTTCAAACATCTCGTACAAGCCAACAGACATGAAAAACTTCTCTGCTTCATCAAAAAGACGACGTTCAGTCCAGCCCTGTAAGTCAAGTGGTGACAAAAGTCTAAAAAATGATGATTCACTATTTGGAAACCAATGAAGAGGTGTTATTTAAGAGAAAACTGCATTCTACCTGCGCCACCATTTCCGTGCTGACATCAATGTCTGGTTTGTCGGGGAAGGGGACTGACAGAGGGTACAGGTTGGTCCAGAATCTTCCCCACATGTCACCTGAATAGTCAACACAGTCAGTAAAAATCTGTTAAGTCTGCAAAAATTTAGTCACATTCTTTAAGTTGACTGAAATCTAATAAATCTCAGCAGCTAATTTAGGGGTGCTCTGGATTAAGTAAAAAGCTTAAAGGATGGAGGATCCACCTTTCAGATGGACGTTTGCACTGTATTACATCAGTTGCTTTGTCCTTATCTGCAGCGAAAAAACTCTAGTACAAAGAACTGGACAGAAGAGGGAGACATTACTAAGCTAAAAATTAAATACATGTCAACTACAAACTCCCTTTGCTTTCTGTTTTATGTTATTTAAGAGCAAATTTGCACAATGTTATGTATATATGTATATATATGTATACTACAAACTTACAATAAAATGTCTAAAATGTCAAATTAGCAGCTAATTTAAGATAGAATACGATATATTCATTTATTTATTAAATCTGAGTTTAACACTAATTTTGGTAAGTCCATCATTGGCTTTGATGATCTCTTTCAATGAACATCAATCCGGGTAACATCAGATTTTCAGCAGCTCGACTCCTGGCCAGCTTCCTGTCTTTTATTTACAGTTGTGGAATTCAGACGGGTAACTAAAAGGCTCCATTAAAATCTTGGATGTACTGTACTTTCAAATAACCATGATGTCTATCTCATTTTAAACCCAGAGAATCTGAAATTATAAAACTTTTCTAAAATAAAAATATTCATTGACCTAAATGTCATACTTCATATGTTTAAAAAAAAACATACCAGGTATACTACCCACCACCACACTTTTAAATGGCTTTGACAAAACTAAATGTCTCATCTACATTTTCTTACAACCCAACTTAATCTTAATTTTCTTTCTTTCATGGCTTCCTTTTTCCATGCTTTAAAAAAAAAAAAGTGTTAAGCTCTTTCTGTTCTATGCCATTTGAAGTGAAACTTTAGCACCAATATTGTTTATGTGAAAATAAACCCTAAATCTAATAATAATTACAGCCAAGATGCCAGGTGACCTCATACACATAATTAAACATGGTCAAAAATCAACAATGTAAAAAAAATCAAAATACACACAATTCGAAACAGTTTCAACATACTGGCTTCTACATGTGGTGTTTGTGAGATTTGACTTAGGTAGTAAACATACCCAGAAGGTGAGCTGGCAAAGGCCCCTGCTTCTCAATGTGTCCCGGGTAGACGTCCATGAGCTTAGACCTCACGTATGCATGCAACTCTTTGTACAAAGGCATGATCTAAGGAAACAAATAAATAGATGCATCCAAATTTACTGATAGTTTCTTCCCACTTTCAATACAAAGAGGCGATGAGACACACAGAAAAAGACAAACCTGTTTGTAGATTGAGCGGACATCCTCCATCAGTTCATGCCGGTTGTACATGAACTGAGGGTCTTCCTCGATGGTCTCGTAGTTGTATCTCCAGTAAGCTCCGTAATCTTCAAAACCTGTTCGTGAAACGGACGAAAAAGAAGATCATCTGTAGGTCTTAACTGATGCAGACCGACATTTGCACATGTAAGGCTTGACTAGTCAGATGCTACGATACACTAATTCTGATCAGCAGCTTTTTTGAAAGGAGACATCAGTGTCTGTAATAGCTTTGTTCTTAGATGTATATTTTCTCATCTTTTTTTCAGAATTAGTCCAAAACATCTCCGTAATTCAGACGTTACAGCTCTTACCATTTAGTTTGGATGCTTCGTTCTTCAGGTCCACATAATCCTCGTACAGGGGCCTCATCCTCTTCCCCACCTCTTTCCTCCAGCCCTCCCACACATGGAGACGCTCAAAGTAGTCCCGGCTGTTGGACATAACACGCTCCAGGCCTGCAAACACGAAGAAAAGTCAGTCACTGCTATACATTTGTGAGTAATGACGGTAATATTTTTATTCGGAAAAATTCATGGGGAAAGTGAAGTACTCTTGACCACAATGCACAGTTTGTTCTTTCACTTCATGAAATGTTGATTGTAAATGCAAATATGAGACCATTTCTAAAGAAAAACACGTTTTTCATAAATCGTTTTAAGTAAACTTGTTCAATATCTTTTGGCATCATCATCATCTTCTGAGGACATTTTGTTGCCAGCACGTCCACACACTTGAACACAATTTAAACACAAAATTTCAAAAAGTCCTATTTTTTGGATAAGTTGTTTATTTAGTCCAGAAGATTCATTTTGAAGTGAGCGTGCCAAACCACAGAGCGCTGACTCACTTATCAACATTCCTAATATAATGTTGCTAAATAGCATGTACGTAGGCAGTAATGCAGATGTGAGAGGCGGAAGCGTGGACTATTGTGACTGCAGCTTTGTCAAATATTTCCCCCTGTTACATTGTCGGCCTTGAGCATTTTTTCTCCAAACGGAAACATGTAAGGAGTTCGAAGGGCCAAAAATTAATTGTTGGTAAAAAAAAGTCATGTCACATTTGAAATACTGCAATAGAACTTAAAAAATAAGATCCACAATGGCACAACTTTTTGCTCTAGAATTTAAAAAGAAGACAACAGAATCTAAATTAAGGACAATCTTCAGTGAAGTGGGTAGAATTATTACTCTCAGAGAATTTCAGTTGTTTTAAGTGTGCGGATGTGCCTCTGACATCATTTTAGAATACCGTTGATGAGGATAATCCCAGAGATTGCTACAACAGCGGCTTCCTTTGCTCACTGACTGTGTTAATTAATAACTGCCTTTTCAAACTTTGACATGGGCAGGCAGTCTTCTCGCCATAACTGGTCCTTATTCAACATACCTGGCTCCAAAGTCTGGCAGTTCCAGGGGTCATCGGGCATGCACACCTTTGCGGTGCTGTAGATTGTACTCATCTCACTCATCACCTTACCCAGCTAGAAAAAAGGAAGTTCAGATGAGACCTTTGGTCCGACTTTGTTACTTTCACAAAGATAAAAAGTGACAAATATCAACAAATCATGACCTAAAGCTGAATTTAAGATGGTTTAAACAAAGCTTTACTCTGTCTCCTTTGAAGTCACCATAAACTGAACGATCAATACCAGTCGTGATATTGTTGTCTGACGATATCAACTGACTTCTGAAACTTTTTGAAAATACTCAAGAAACACGTGCGATGATTCAGTCTGATGATTCGGACTGCAAAAGCCAAATTCAACAGAGAAAAAGCCCTTACGTGCGCAGCCTTATCCTCAGCCAGAGCCCCAGAGCCTTTGTCTTGGAGGGAGATGAGCTGTAACTTAATTTGCGGGTCCTTGATCTGGTCGATGGGATATTTACGGGACTCTTCCGACATCCTGGTGTAGAAGTCGCTCCAAATTTGCCCCTGTGCTGACTGTGAGGAGGGAAACACACATCATCAACCAGTCTTTAATAGCCAAACTCCAAAAAACAAAAAAAAAACAGCTTCTAAGCTTCCGCGACTGGATAACCTCAGTCCACCGAATACCCACCAGTTTGTCCGAATTCTCCTGGGTGATGTTGGTGTTGTAGGCCCATGATGCCAGCGAGTATTGGTACATCAGGGCAGAGGCCTCCCTGTCGAACGTCTCCAGGAAAGCCTCCACATCTGACTGAGCAGAAGCGGCACAGCACAGAGCCAGCAGTGTTACCAGAATCCCCGCGGACATCTCGGCTGCTTCCTCCACTCACACAATGTGACTGCGCCAGGGAGGCCGACCGTACTGTTATACAGTTTCAATAATCTTCTCGGCTACCTTGGCCTTTGGACTACAGAGTCATAAGCGAGGGTGTATCTAAGTTTTCATTTACAGATACAATGTGTTAAAGGGAACATTGAATGTCCCTCTGATGACTTCCCATAGTGGGATACTCATGTCATACTATTAACCATTATCAGTTGTAAGAAACTTTTTTTTTCTAAGCTTCACATCTCCCGTGGAAGACTTGTATTTGAATTTAGCTTATCAAATAAGTTCTCTGCTTTTGGCTTTCACCATGAATGATCCAAATGTTTTAATATCAATTCAGTGGTGAAGATGTATTGAGATAGAAAACATTGACACCTGAAATCACAGTAACTGTAATGCAAAACAACACAGATTTGTTTTTTCCACTGCTGTTCACCAGGACGTCGGTACTTGGCTTTCTTTTTTTTCTCATGAACTTCATGTTCTGAGCGCACAAAAAGCTATTAAAATCTCAAATATGACCGGAATCGAGTGTGTCATCATTTCTTCTGAGAGCAATCTCGTCTCTATTATTCTAGTTTTTATTTACAATTTATTTCATAATTCATTCAATTAATTGTTTAATTCTATTAGATTTGTACAATAATAGGTTTTCTCAATTATTATTGTATTGTATATCTGTTGTTCTTAAATTCATTCTACAAGCTGCTTGGTGATAGATTTCCTTGCTTTTTCCTGGCATTATGTATAAACTGCAAGTCAAGCACTATGAGGTCCTAAATGCTGATAAGAAATCAGCTATGAGGCCAAAGTTTAATATCAATATTTACAGTGTAGACCAATGATTATCTCAGGCTTACAGGCTTTGTCTGTAGCAAGAACATCAACGAAAACAAACA